ATTTATTCGTAAGAAGAGTTTTTCTAAAGTATATGGATCTGGTTGTAAGGAAAACTAGGAATTAAAGCTGGTTCTTTTTATTATTTATATGAAATCATGTTCGTATCTCTTGATTATTTATTTACTACATAGCTTAGGGACTTTCTAAAATGGAAAGCACCTCCGATACATGTTGGTTTCGAAGTTATGGTTGTTTCTCTCAGAGTTACGATTATTACAATAATTACCGCATGCACATTACACTGTTGTCACCGGATACCATTTCTAGTTTTGACATCATTCGCCTTCCGGGACTCGTGCACTTAGGTGCAGTAATTAAATCCGGCTTGTGTTCCGTGTTCTGGCTTTCTTGTAACTTCATTTTATTCTTAGCTTGCGAATAACAGCAATTCACATAATACAGAGACTGTGCAATCTACTATCGACTGCCTCCTACACTAAAATAATTTTATAGGTCTAACTCGACGTAATGTTGCCAAGTCATAAAATCCATCATAACAATTCTGTGTTGCAACATCTCTTACGAACGATCTGTCAAAAACATTCAGCAGATTATCTCGGTGAAAAATCCTTCGTAGTTTATTTAGAGCAGTACAATTTGCATGAATAATGAATTTGTAGGCGTTTACAGTAATGACGACCGCAAATTGAATTGATTGCTGCAATTAATTTGTTGTATACTTAAACAACTTATTTATCAAAGTGGGTTAGAACTTGAATACTCGCTCAAGTTTATTTCTTTCAAAGTTATTAAAGAGTGTTAGAACTAAAACATTATTACTATCAAGGCACATGTTGTATCTCTGCAAGTTTCACCCATAGATTACTGAAATAATAAGCCGTCGTGCAAAGTAATTTAAGGCTAATGTTTTTTGAGATTGTACTTATGTAGGTGTGCTCTCAAAGAGCACAATATTTTGATTGCGCAACACAACGGTTCTGTGGTTTTATGGTATTTGTTGCATTCGCCGAGCATGCGGTCGGAATAACTTGCGAAAGTCCAGAGGAAACTTTAGCAACCGCTTTAGTTTCATGCGTCTCGGGGGCCGCCATACACAAATCTTTGTCACAAAATGTCTTGACCGCGTATGTGAGGGAAGTTTTCGAGATTCCTTTCTAAGAGCCTAGAGTTAGGTTTCTCATATATATCATTGCTTGCTAGCAATCCTTAGTGTTTAAGTTGGATTTTTTTAAACTGCAAAGTGCTACGTTTTGTCTCTCATCTCAACCCAATTCTAGCATTCGTCTTCTAGCTCTTTAACAAGAATTGAATTGTAATTACTAAGTCATCATGTAAATTGATTGTTTACTCGTTTATTGAACTCACTGACTAATGGATTAAGGTCGATAATAAATCTATATCTCAATCATGAATTAACTCGAACTAGTTGTATAAATATATATCCTCGAAGTAATTGGGAGTCCAATTGAACTGTCAACTGCGTGAATGTCCCAAATAATAGCTATCTTAGTTACACAAACAGTGTTTTTTTTTGTGTCATTTAATTTTATTTTGAATTGTTATAGTCGGTATAATGAATATTTAATTTATCATTTGTCTAGATTTTTCCTCGTTATCCTACTTGCCTTAATTGAGTTATTTGTGTATAAGGAAAATCATTAATTAGTCCTCTCAATGTTTCCAGGAATATCACCTATTTGTTTTGTGGTTATTTTAGATAGGTAAGTAGCTGTTATAAATAATTCACATTGACGCCGCTCTTATAGGTACGACAATAACAATTTAAATTACAATTATTAGATATCATTGTTTCGTTCTCATTTACATTCTATTTCGGGAAATATTTTGTAAATATCCTGAAATAGCAACACCTACACCACTTTCCTCCAGTGATATTTAATTTAGGCTCATTTTATAAAGGTTAACTCTACATTCTAAAACAAAGCCCGATAAGATCTAAACAAGTGAAAACTATCTATATAGTTACCAATTTTAGAGACAAAAGTCAAAAGTGTTACTATGTATGCATAGACACACAATGTTTATAGAGCTTTAGGCCAAAACTAACTCCACATTTAACTATTTAGAATTGCCTAAAGCCATAAAATCATCAACCATTATCTATGTTTATCCTATGACCGTCGATGTATTCGATTAGTTATGCCATTTCATTTTGTTCTTAGTTGACTACCTTACTATTTTCTGTACAGTAATGGACGTGGTAGCTGCCAGCCAGTTGGCATCGGATCCGTTACGTTACATACATGACCTTTAAAACCCTTAATGTGTTTTGTATCTGTAATGACTAACAAATTACTCCCGTCATCCTGCCTCACATATTCCCATAAGAATAATAAAAAAGGAATATGTTCCATTTATTATATCCTCGTACAAGTGACGAGCAAATTGCTTAGCTAAGTTGCGTGTTGTATAATTCGCGAGGACTGCGTGAGAAAAATGCTCTGGCCGCCATATTGGATTCATTTATTTTCATATCCATATTTCACGCTCACGATCACCGCGTGTTAGATGTTATGATTAAGTTTTATTTAAATGTTTTTGTTCTGTTCATTTCATTTAGCTTATGAACTTTGTTCTTTAAAAGTAACTAGGAGGTTGTTGACTCTCAGTTTTAGTTCATTGAGCAATGAGATCTAGGACTTTGATACTTCAACAAACAATAACTTACAAGGTAAATCAAGATAAGGTAAACCATTAATAATGATTAGAGTAGTACTCGAGTTTAATAAGCAGATATTCCACTTTCCTCCGAGTTGAAAGACCGAGAGACACTCATAGCTACAAAGTTGCGCAGCCCTGCGCTTGCGCCGCGCTGCCTTGAATCATGATTGTCCGCGCGCGTTAGTCACGCCACCGCTCGACCACTTTCAGCGAAGGCTCATATTTCCATTCCTCACTGTTTATTTTTATTTTTCATAGTTTTATGCGGTCCTGGTAGTGTTTTACGAATACTTTACATTTTTATGTTTTAAAGTGCCATTAGAGTAAAAGAATAGCTTAACAACACTTACTGAAAGGCTGAAAAATCCATTATTATGTTATTTCAATACTTAATAAACACAATATTTAATTTTACTACCGCAAATAGAAATAGTACCCACCTCTATCTCATTGATAGAATTCGTTATCTGTACAACTCAATCCACTGATAAATATTCCCGTTGATAAAATGTTTTAGTACCTATTTGTTAATTGTCACATCGGCTCTTTGTCGTCGTCACCCGTCAGTCGCTCAAATGAAATTATTGAAATACTTGGAATTATTAAATCTGTGAAGGGAGCGTGTTTGTTTAGGTCCACATCTCCGCAAAGCTTTTGAGATCCCTTTGAAACATTGTATGTAAAGCATTTTATACGCGCTGCGAAGCTCGTCGTTTTGTCTTCATTTAGTAGGCTCCAACGTGAAGAAATGTTACTATTTTATTACCTACTTCATAACCACGTATAAAGTAATATATTGTTAGCACAGACTTCTTATTGCATCAATTAATTATTACAAGATCGGTTACTAAAGACAGCCATTTACATGCTAATGGTATTATGGTACGAGCGAATGAAGCCTCATTGGAAGGCAGGCGACGGGAGTCTGGTAGCTGCCTACTCTTGTTTTTAAATTCTTACATCAGCGTTGATAATCGCGTGTGTACTGTGTAGTAAACTTGTTTTATTCAGTAAGCTACCAAGTTGTGGTGCTTGACTATGTGCATTCGTTCCGCAAGCTTCGCTTTCGTCGTGCGATCACAAGCTCAGATCTCATTCGCTCCTCGCCTCTGTATTCACGACATCCGGTATTTTATTTTGCGTTTCTTTGAACACGGTACAACGAACTTAAAGCAGCCTCGTATGGGGAGCAATTATGGTCGTGCCATACAAAATTTGCACGAATATTTTTAAATTTAGTCCTTTTTTACGATGTCATAGTAAGCAATGAAGTTTTTGTTCTGTTTTGGATAATTCGTCTTCCAACTTAACAGCTTGCCTGCATAATGTTCCGGGATTATTAAAGTGTACTTAGTTCAACGCTAACCATTAACACTTCGTGACTACGATTGCACAAATTACTACAGTGGTGATGACTGAGACCTACTTAATGTAGGAAACCTGTCATTAGGAAGAGTTGATTTTCTACGATTAGGAAACAACATTTGAGACTAGATATCTGCACTCCCAGTGATGCGGAAATGAGCTGACCTGGAACAGTCTAATGGCAAGCAATCGCTTTAAAGTTATTTCTGCGAAGAGTTAGTTTACATAAATCATAAAGTTTACGCCCTTTAGATTCTCGCGCTGCCGCTGTTACAAAATGTTCGGGACGCACGCGTACGTTAATTAAATTAAACTGATTTGTATGTCGTAAGCTAATTGCGAATACGTATGGGCTAGGGCGGCTCTAAATATATTCGCACGACACCACCACTCCTCATCACAAACACAAACCAACACATATGTTGTCCTAATATTATTCCTATTTTCGCTCACGTGCTAACGGCCGTCCATACAATTGTCACGTTATAAAGAATTGCGCCTTCTTTCTACTTTCATTACGTTGGTGATGTTCTTAATGTTATCTTTGGATTAAGTAATTTACGTATCCTACCGATTTTTATTCATAAGTACAATTAGTGTGACATTTGCTTTGGCCTCTTTACATTGATTCGATACGATATTTTCATTGGTTGTTGTTAGTGCATAATCTTATCGGTAGTTGATAAAACAAAACAGTTTTACTTCGATCAATACTTGTATACACACATGTACCTCACCCACTTATGAATCAGTTCTCTTGCCTTATCAAACTTTTCGTAAAACATTTTCCAATATTCTTTAGTTTCACAATAGGCGCGATTCGAAGCACTCAACATGACTTTGTATGACCCGATTATACTCCAACATTTACGTCTCTGTTTAGTAGAACGAGTCATTTCAAGTGGTCTAAAACAGTGAGTAATCAAAAGTGCACTCTGGGTTTCAATTAACAGTTGCAAAGTGTGAAATGAAAGCAGAAAAGGATTACTAGAAGAAGAACAGTGAAACGAATGGCGGCGGCGATGCGGCGAGGGAACTTAGTGGAGGCCAACAGGCGTTAACGCAGCGTGCATCCGCCGCGCGCCGCGACCTGTCGGCCGCTATGTCGAGTGCGCTGTCTCCGAGCGCCTCGGACGTCGGCGACGAACCGGCGCGACGTCGCTCCGTCTTTTACGTGCCATTGTTTGAGAGCTTCGACAATTATCTGCCCTTGACGCCAGAAGAAAAAGAAGCTCTAATATCTGGGCAAAACTTAGATACTGCGTCTACAAAAACTAAAAGGAGGAATGCGTCAGACAGCGGCAGATTGCGAATCCCCTCCCGAGGTGATTCATCCTTTACGGAAAGTGAAAGTGACATGAGCGCCTTTAGTCCAGAGAGACGATTTCGTCGGCCTTTGTCATCGACGGCGAGCTCAAACGAGGCGCTGACAAGATTGGGTCATCGCGATCTGACGAGTCCAAGACTCGTCGTTGCCCAAAGCACCATTATGAAAAATACTAAGCCAAGATTACGAAGCACAACATCGTGTGAACCTCGGTACGATCGGATATTTACACCTATTGGTGGATCAATTTCAACAAATAAATTGAATAGTTCAACAACGAATATTGGAAGTAAATTGCCCTCTAAAACTTCTATTATGAATTCCAACCTGTCACTGATACCTGATTCTCCAAAACTCTTGTCTCCGGCGAAAGAAAAATCGAAGACACTTCCACAAAATCTTAATGTGCCATCGCCTATTAGAGGCAGTAGTAGCTCTACGTCTATATTTAGAACACCTAGAATAACTGTTACTCCTGAGAGTCCTAATAAAAGTCCTGGAAAAATGTCAGGATTAAACTTTATTCGACGATCTCGAAGCACGAAACTATCAAGAAGCAACTCTTTATTGCGCAGTATCACTGCGAGACATATTGAGGAGGGGCTCGACGATCACTCCGCTGTAGTGACGGACCTGACTGAAAATTATGATAACTTTGTGGATAACAATGGTGGTGAGTCAGAAGTGATATGTGCCCTAATTAAGAAAAACGAAGCACAGATGGCGAACAGTCCCATGAGCATCCGTCGGGCGTACCTTGACGTGGATGACGATGTTGCCGTACATTCTGGTAAGATTTGCTTTCGTAAACACCATAATTCAATGTAACCTTGAATAAATTGTAATTTAGTTCCCATCAACTCTATTCGCTGACCATAATTTATACCATTATAGAAACAGTCCGTTTGATTTCATTGCGTAAAGTGAAACATAGAGGCGTGCGCCTGCTTGACATTGGTCGTCAAATTAATAACATTGAATGAATAACCAAGATCCTTTCTAAAATAAATTAGCTCCGATTACAACATTATGAGTCAGTTAAAGGTATTCACGATTATTTTAATTGTATAGGTGAGCTAAACTTGTTTACTATTTTATGTACCTATATCTAGAAACGGATAGCGTAAGTGGCTGAACTTGTATCCATCGATCATGTTACATTGTGCCCAGTAGAGTACTTAGCGGACAATACCAGACACTAGAGAGGAGAAAGCGTTTGAAAGCCCTTAGCAAGCGAGTACCTTTAACATGGATGACTTAACACTTTCAAACTACACCACAGTTTACAGTATGCTCGTTCATAACAGCAAACAATGCCTTCTAATTACACAGCAAGGATCTGAAGCGAAGGTCTTTAACTAACGATACATCATGTCTCAAAGTTGGCATTACGAAAAGTGGAAGTCATCTTGTTATTCAAAACCCATTATAACTAAGTGACTGTAACCATAAACAATGGTTATTCAAATTGTGTTTTAGTAATGTTGATCAGAACATGAATTATTATGGAAATAACTGGGATATGAAACAATAGTATAAATCTTAAGAAAACAATATTTACTTTGACTTTGTAATTATTTTGAGATTGTACAAATTGTTTTGACGAGATAATGGAATGTAATCACCATAAAATAACTTTACGTGCGAGTTGAATTCCTCCGATTGTGGAGATATTTTAATCAATTAGTATAAAATTCCCATAGGTGTGAGAAATCTAATAATAGATTGACGAAGACGTTGAAGACGTTGATAGCATACAACAATGCTCGGTAACACGTAAATCTCTGTTGTAATGAACAAGGGAACAGTTTCTTAACATGACGGTTCTTGTGTAAAAAGTTTGTGTGGAATCCCATGAAGCGAGTATATTCCCCTTGTGTCATCATCCTATTAATAGGTGCATTAAATCGTACTGAAATTGCACACTGTGTTTTCCGCATTTATTTGAAAACGTAGGAAGCTAGATATAGTTGTTGTCAATCATTACGTAAGCAGTAATTAGAAGTATTTAAACTCTAAATATTTGTGTTTTTTGGGATATGTGTATCAAATACTACATTTTTATAGCGGTAGTGCGCTCTTGTACATCAAACATGTAAAACCATCGCTCCACCACAAAAACAGTCAGTCTCTGCCCTGACTCGACAAGCAAAAAATGGTGAGTGCAATATGCGTTTTAATACTTTTTTGAATGTTTCGTAACACAAACATAAAAATGTTCTAATGTACCGGCACTATCGTATTGTTGCGTTGCATTTCCTCGTGGACGATCGCAGCCTTATCGAAATACGCGTAATGGCTGCGCAGAGTATCGACTCTGCAGACCTTTTCAAATAATTACATCTCATTTGGAACAAATTGACCACTCACTTCATAACTCCCGTGCTGTGGTTACAAACGCGACGAGTATCTGTGTCATTCTTAATTTTTGTTGTGTTACGTGTTCATATTTTAGTATTCACTTGTATAGGATTTATAATCTGTTCAAAAAGGGTTTGTATCCACTATGAAATTATTTTTCCAATAAAACACCAGAGATTCATTAAAATAGATCATGTTATGTTATACAGTTACCCAGTTTTATAAAGCAGTAACATTTCAACAGTTTTGTAACTAAGTATGTTAAAGAATAGGTTCCTTTTTCATTAGGTAGCCTTGGTGTCGTGGAAGACCTCTAGACAACAATCAGTTTAACCATGAAAACTTTAGTGTCACTCATTGTGCATTATAACTGAGATTATCTACGTGTTAGCAAAACATTCCATTCGTTTATAACTCGTCACAACAAGTCGGATGCCATCCATTCAATAACTGTAAGTCAGAGCTAAAGAAGTCTCAGTCTCGATGTGTCTTAGGGACATGACATGAATAGTTAATAATGTTTTTAACGTCTTGTATAGAATGCAACCATTTTTGTAACCACAATTTTTAGAATATGTGATCATCACACGTCTCAATACTTAATATCTGTGCCTAAACCAATAAAGTAGTCAAATAGGAATTGGCTTAAAATGGTACGTAACTGAATAATTGACTTCTGTTGGCTACTGGTTAGTTAACACTGGTCATAACTCGTAACCCCTCGGTACAACACGTAAACCGAAGTAATAACGATAATGGCTTCGAAAGAACATCTGTTGCTTCACACGTCGCGGTGTCGTTGACATTCCAGGCTGTTGCCAACCTAACAAATTGTTGTAAGCAATATTTTTCTACCAAAACAAACGAATCAAAATAAATATGAAACCTAATCCATAAACCGCCATCACTATTAATAGCGGTCACAAATATTAGTCGTAACCATTTATTTATTGTCGATGCACTATCGAGTTTCCAAGAAAGACATGTTTATGTTGAAGTTATACGGATCAATGTTTTTGTTACTTTACTCGAGTCATCTGCAGTTAATGTCCTCAGTTTAGTCGAGTTAATATTTTCTAGCTAAAGGACCGTAGCCAAATCGATCGCCAAATGTTTAATACATATTTTGGACGCGGCCACCATAATAATTTGTTGCTCAAAACTTTTTGTCGTATATTTGCCGACGCATGCGCAGCGGTCACGGGCGGCGTGCGCGCAACTTCCGGCGGAAACCACGCCGTACATGGCTACTGCTATGTAGTGTAGATATCATATTACAATATCTATCAGTAATGTCGCGGTAATGTGAGACCTCGCGAACGTTGCACGTACCTCCACGTATATTGTTTGCAGGTCAGCTCTAGTAATTTTCTTGCAAGGTTGACGCTAAATCAGTGTCAATTGTACTCTCTGATGAAACAGATATGAGACTGTATATTTTTCATAGTTTTTTAACTTGTGTTGGTAATGTGTGTTTGTATTAATTGAAACAAATATTTATTACAGTATACCATACTTTATTTAGTTTTTTTAGTTCATCTTTTCAAAACACAGAATAAGTTATTTATAATTACGTTTTCTTCTTTCCAGATACCTCCTATGAGAAGGCATGCCGTCGTGGCTCTGCGCCAAGCACACCGGTGCCGGGTGCTCAGGCGCAACACAGTCCTTCACGGCTGGCCTCCTTCTTCTTTTCTAAACGGTCGTTCAGGAGCAACCCCCTCAAGAGGACCAAGTCTGCGACGAAGCTCGAGAGGGAACGAGCCTTGGCCACCGTACCCACACATCCACCAACACATGCCTTACGGACGTCAAGGTTAGTTTATACAACTTTTTTAAATTGTAAGATTTAAGTAATTTTATCTGCTACAAATGTCTTAGGTTCATAATTATATTACTTAAACGAAAACGAATACAAGAATTAAAAGGAAAGTTTAGATTTTATTGAAATTTGTACCAAATTAAAGGACATCAAGAACATTACTTAAAAGTTTGTATATATCATTGTTTGATCAGGATTCAGTCCCAAAATTGTGTGTATCAGTATTTCCTGTTCACCAATACCTGTGTTTTTGTCGCTCCAGAGATTAGTGTATTCAAACAATTTCTTGTGTACAGAAACAAGTAACATCAGTTCGATACAATCTGAATTGCAGATATCTCTTTGATGCCAAACAATTGATCGGTATCGTGTAACAACGTTTTTGTATTTCTTCGAAGAAAGTGTGTGAATATTTCATTATTACTCTCTCACAGTACAAGTGTGACAGTTTATTGATCCATTAAACTTGATATTGCAGCAGATTACTCGATATTTTGCTTCTAACAATAACTTGTTTTATGATACGAATAAAATAATCTGTGTAATACGAAACATCCCTGTTCTCACCTCATAACTTAGTTTACGAGCACCATCACTTGTGTTTCCCCCGAAATAGTGATCGTAAAACAGCTCCGAATTCTTATTGCGATTGTTGAACATAAAGTTACTTAGCCATCATAATTTCTAGACGGTTAACTTCATAAACACAGTTTATTAGGCATATTGTCGCCGTAACTTTGTATTCCTACGTTTAGGGAAATGAGTTTTGATTGTTATCATCGTAACGAGTTTCCGTATTATGCAAATAAAAAGAAAATTAAAAGTTTATATATCAAAAGTTTGTTTCAAAATAAGGACACAATGGCGTCAGTTACTTTATTGCCAGTAAATTGAATGGTAAGCGCTGCGTGTAAAGCCAAATTCAGGGCTTGTCGTACATACACCCTAGTGTGCAAATTAGTTTGTAAAACAAATGTCAAGTGTATTTAGTAATATATCGTGACTGCAAAACGTTATCCAGGTTGTATGGTGTCGTATTTCAACGTGTAGGAGTGTCGCCCCGCCCCGTCTGCCCCTGTGCTATTTACCAAATGTTCTTAATTACTTCCCTCCCAACGCAAACACGACAACTTCATCGAGACCTAATTAAATAGTGAACAACTTTGGCGGCCAATTAACGCCTGCTAATAGGTGCTATATATGGCCCAATGATTATTGAAGTTTCGTTCGACAGATGCTCTCCATCACACGTAATGTAAACGTTTACGTAAACAATACAGGCTGTAAACTGTAAGGGAATAACACTTCCTGCTCTTGCTTGATCTACGAATCTATTAAAAAGGAACGAACATTGAATACAATCTCTGGTCCTGAATTTGAATTTTAGGCAAACATTCCTTAGGGAATAAAATATTATCTGCCATCTACAATTTCTTTAGAAAGCGCTCAGTGAAATTTTTGGAATATTAGGGAGACCGGAATCCTTCCATTATTTCTCGCGCAAATAATCCCTTTGACGAGCGCTAACGGTAATCAAATCTGTTTGTTTCAGATCTCACGAAAGCCTTCTGTCTGCACATTCACCCGCCGTTTCCACCATGGATTTGGGGCCACCTAATCAAGTAAGTATTTAATTTTAAATTTCAAATGACAAGAAATTATCAGATAAACCTACCGATAGACACGATTTTCGTCTCTTAAATACATATTTCTGGAATATTTTCCAAAAAACATCATAATATAATTACTAAACGGAGTCACAGCAGACGGCTACTAAAAATATCATTCTAGTTTATATTTATAATATCGTTTATACATATAAACGCTGAGGTCAGCTTTCCAAATGGATAACACGTAAAGTATTTCGGGTCGCAGTCAAACTATGCTAGTGAGCAAGAAATTCCTGCCATAGTTTGAACTTGAAGCATGGCATTCGACCTTCATGAATTTAGTGTTGTAGTCAGAATGTTGGTACCTACCTAAAGTAAACGACATATATGGTATTACCATCGTCTTATAGTAACGCTACGAATTTAATGACAAGGCTTCTTCAAAGTGCTCATATTGTATGCTCACTCTCGCGTGAAGGTTATTTTAGTGCACTCCAATCATTTTCATAACTACCTACCTAAGTAGTTCACATAACCTAATATCTTCCTCATATTTTTCATTTCTTAAAGGATATGCAGAGATAGACTTTAAATAGAGCACCCACTTTTAGACAATTACATTATGAGTCCAATGGAAGCGATATTTTAATACAGAAGACCGAATCAATGCATGGCGGCCATACCGTGTGTTTTTTTTACTGTAGGAATTCCCTACGGATTCATCAGTGTCAAGCTTTATATACGTAGCACCTTAATATTTATATTAATCATCCTAATTAATATTTTCAGGTAGAAATTCGATCTCTTCACTCATCAGTCCTGGGCAGGCCACATTGCTTCGCGCTCAGTGCTGAGAGCAGAGCGCCTCGCTACTTCGCCTGTGCCTCGCGGAAAGAACGGGATCGCTGGATATACAGGTATATTTTTATTTAGATAATGTGTAGAAGCGAACTTTACATAGAGGTTTCATTATGTATGTTCCATTTTTATTATATTTCATGTTGTGATATAAACACATCCAAAACTTTCATCAGGGGTATTGCTTGTAAGGCTCACATGTAAATGACTATTTGTTGCTATACTAAAGTTTTGCAACTGTAATATTATGGGCACTTTTACTTCAAGTGGGTTGGTCTTATGTGGGACCTTCCTATGTTATTATTTGTTACGGCAAGGATAGTAATTTTATAAAAGAAGTATGTTAGCAGTTTGATAGTTTCCCAGTTCTCAGTGTTTCAGTTTAGATTCAACACAAGTTATGCTTCGTAAACACAGCCACGACACGACTGTGTTATAAGGAAATGTCCCTATACCATCAATTACCTATATTGTAAGTGGTTGAGACTGCACCTTTAGTCGGCCACGTCGTTATCAATCAATATTATGTACAATGTATAAGTTACGTTCTTTGAACCGCTAGCAGACTTGTGTTGGTGGTGTCTAAGTAAACTTACGCCCACGAGCTAATTGGTTAGCTATTAGGTACAGGCTCGAAGAATAATGATTACCTTTTGTAGATGATATTAACTATTAAATGGTATTTGCCAGAATCATTCAGGTTGCAAACAATAATACTGCAGCCTCAAATGTTACGTAAATTAATAATACTGCATTTTATTTCGAAACGTGTTTAGGGTTCAGTGACAGACTTTTAATTAATGTTGGTATTATGAAATTCTCAGTATTTCGTATACTCATTAAAATCCTTCCATTCTAAATGAACAACTACTTATTTGTGTCATTACAAAGACAGCTGTAAAACATTATTATTAGGTTTTAATGATTTTACGAGTGAAACTAGTTAATGCGATAGATAAACCTCTAAAACCGCTAGAAAGTGATCCGAGAGGTTAACCGTTATCTCTTTAAACATGTGTGCCCTTTGTCGTTACTGATAAAGTTATTATGAACTAGAAACTCACGCAAAGGGATCCTGTTAGATATGACCAGATAAATATCGTACATAAAAGAAACTATTTTATTGATAACATGGCCAACATAAACAAATTCATTTTTGCCAGTTCTTGAACCCAATATTCATTATGTGTGTTGGGTGACTTGAATATTCATATTCATATGCATGGTGTCAAACTACCTATTGTTAAAGCTGTACTAAATTTTGAAAACCTAGGAGCTCTCTAATATTGGTATTTTTGTCGTTACTTAACTTTATTAGATAAAAACCAGTGTAATTTAGTTGTTAAATTATGTATTTACTATGTATATCATTTTCTTCCCCAGCTTACGGCAAGCGGCACGGCCGGACGAGCTGCGCACGCGCCGATGTGAGCGGACCGTCAAGCTGTGGCTATTGGAGGCCAAGGCGATACCGCCCAAGAAGAGATACTACTGCGAGATCCTGCTCGACGATACGTTATATGCCAGGTATTAGGTTTATTTAATTCATAGGTTTGTTAGGTCATTGACCCCTAGTTTCTGTAACCTATATAATAATTATACCTTGCTTTAGGTGTTGTCTTTTGTTTATGATAATTTTGCATAGACCTACTCTTTTGTGTCAAATCGTTTATTCAATTTTCAAATGTATTGTTTTGGTATGCAGTCGAAAATCAGAAAATCAATCATATTTATTGTAATGCTGGCATCTGTAGCTATATACATCAAGTATATACAAAATGTAAACAGATATTAATTAATTTACCAACCTATCACATTATAGCTTTCTATAAAATACAACTTGATCAGCAATAAATAAATAAATCAATTAATTTCATTCTTCAGATCATCATCAAAGCTGAAAACGGAGCTATGTTTTTGGGGCGAGGTGTACGAGTTCGGCAGTCTGCCGGCGGTGCGCGCCATACACGTCAACGTGTACAGGGAGCCCGAGCGGCGCTCCAGGAAGAGGGACAAACATGCGCTTGTTGGTTAGTAAGCTTTTAATATTTTTTTGAGGTTTATTGGGACATTGTTACATGGACATTTGACAAACGGTTGATGATCGTCCATCCTCTCAATTGGATGATATTCGTTGCCTAAGCAATTTATAAAGGTAAAGCGTTCTACAGAGAATCACTCCTTTTATTCCCTAAAGGGACAATACACGTAATCCTTACTATAATATTATAAATCTGAAAGTGAGTTTGTTTGTTTGTTTGTTTGTTCCACCTTGACGCCATAACTACTTAACCGATTGCTTTGAATTTTTGCAGAAGTAAAGTTAGAAGTCCGGATTAAATAATAGGGTACTTTTTAACACGGAAAAATTGATATTCCAGAGAAAAACAAAAGTATTGGTATAGATGGCGCTGTGTGTATTGGTATATGTCACATAGGCTACTTTTATTCTTTTGTGACGCGAACGAAGCCGCGGGTAAAAGCTAGTACACATTAAATATAACACCCACCTTTCCCAGTTACGTAATGAGTCCAATGTAATAAGGGGTGAAGCTTTGGCCGTTTACCAGGAACAATTTCAGTCTCAGTGGCAATCATACCTCTGATTAATCCGATGCATAGTCTTGAAATGTAAATGTTTCAAAGCTAAGCATTTATTCTTCTAAGCCTCTACTTCAGCTCTTCTTATTAGTTATTAATACAAAATAAACCTTATTATCTCCAGGTACAGTCCGCATTCCAGTCGACGACGTATCCTCCAGATACCTCAACGAGCGGTGGTACCCATTGACTGAGACCGACAAGCCTCAGTCCCCGGCCGCGCCTGCGCCCGCGCTGCGAATCAAGTGCCGATACCAAAGCGTTGATGTACTACCTATCGACAACTACGCGCGGTTCCTAGACTATCTGAAGAGGAATTACAGACGGTTGTGTGAATATTTGGAGCCTGTTATCGGTAAGTGGATCTCATTTCAATTTAACCCCTAAACTTAACTTTTACTTACCTTCTACTGTAAAACTTTAAGGTCTATACTCGTACAAATGACACAGAGCGTTTTGTAATAAACCTGAACCTCTTTACTACGATCTTTAACTCTACCAAGAGCGGAGATTATAACAAAACCTCTCGTGTAGCTCGTCTAGCAGTGGACACTAGACAGCCACGTTGCTGATGACTGTTGATAATGATGCAATTATTAAGTTAGAGAAAACCTTTTCTACTAACGTACCTAATTTTAATTTATTTCGCAGGTGTGAAAGCCAAAGAGGACATAGGTTGTGCACTAGTGCTGTGTATGGCTGGCGCGGGAATGGCACCCCGCTACCTCGCCGACGTGGTGGCACTGGACGTGCGCCGCACTGGCGATCACTCGCTCACTTTCCGTGGAAACTCACTCGCCACCAAGAGCATGGAGGCCTACCTCAAGCTTGTTGGCGATCAGTACCTGCAGGTTAGTTCATTCAACATTTAATACCTGGTGAGACTATAGCCATAAGTATATACACAGAGATATGCATGGGTTTGGACCAGGTATGGGTCACAAAAGACAACGAATCCAGTAGATATCTATGCTTTTTGTGTAAGTTCAAAAAGCGTACAAGGTCCAATAATATTTCAAAAACTTCAAAAAAATTTATATATTCCACGCCTGTTCTACCAAATGTAGGTAGTTTCTCAAATAAGTGTATGACAAATAACCTCTGGTGTGTATGTTCCAGGACACGCTATGCGCGGCGGTGACAATGGCAGCGGGTCCTGGCGCGGCGGAGTGCGAGGTGGACCCGCTGCGGGCGGGGGGCGCGGCCGCGCTGCGCCGCCAGCAGGCCGCGCTGCGCGAGGCCGTGACGCTCGCCTGGCGCTCCATCGAACAATCCGCGCCACGTTTCCCGCCGCCGCTTAGAGACTGCTTCGCTACCTTCCGAGAAAGGTAATCATTACCACATTACTTTCATCGTTTGTATAAAGTTGTTCAATATAATAGGTATTATATTTTTACGTAGAATAGTTTTTACTTTAGTCCGCTCGACCAGAGCGATACACGACTACACAGAAAACTGGCGTGAAACAATGCGTTCTTCATGTTTCGCTATAATGAGCAAGGTTACAAAAAACTCAACAGATCATACGCTTAAAATTATGATTGACATTGATTAGTAGGTAATATTTTATATTTTTATATTTTATATAATATTATAAAGAGGAAAGATTTGTATTTTTGTATGTTTGTAATGAATAAACTCAAAAACTACTGAACCGATTGCAATAATTTTTTCACCATTCGAAAGCTGCATTATTCAGAAGTAACATAGGCTATATAATATCACGCTAGGTCCTATAGTTGTGGAGCAGTAACCAAAAATGTTTTAAAAACGGGGGAAAAGTATCGTTTCTGAGGCCTTCCGTGGCGTGCGCTGAGCATATAGTTAAAGTTATACAAAAATGTTCTATAGATGAATTGTTTATCTTAACATTATTTTTAAAAAAGTCCGCGAGAGCATATGTCTACCTTTTATAGTTTACCCATAACAATCGTTTTAATGAATGGTTCAATCCTTATAAAAGTTTGCTCTAGATAACTTTTGAATTGTTCAATCGGTTACCTTAAGACGCGACATCGACAACGGAGGGCAGGTCGCTAAAAAAAACTTAGAATAAATATAAATAAAACGTAAAACTATGTAAAAAATCTTAAGTCTCCCCGTGCGAAGCCGGGACGGGCCGCTAGTATTTTATACACACATTCATACACAAGGCATGTCAAACAAATGTATATATCCGTTGCAGACTGACGGCGATGGGTCGAGAGGACATCTCAGACAACTTGATCAGTGCATCCATCTTCCTTCGCTTCCTTTGTCCAGCTATACTGTCTCCAAGTCTTTTTGGAATCACACATGGTAAGTTATTATTAAATTCGTAAAACGTAAAAAAATCTACGTTCAGAACAGTTAAAATCTCGATTAGCTTTTTAAATGCATAAATTACAGTAAGTATAATACACAAGAGTCATACAATTAAACCAGCTTAAAACTGAATATTAATAAAAAAAATATATCGTTGCAGAGTACCCGAATGAGCGCGCAGCCCGTAACTTGACTTTGGTGGCGAAGACTCTGCAGACCCTGGCCAACTTCACACGGTTCCAGGGCAAGGAGGCCTTCATGGAGTTCCTCAACGACTTTTTAGAGCAGGAGGCGCCTCATATGAAGGCGTTCCTTAGAGCTATTTCGGTGAGTACATCCCTCAAAAAGTTATTCGCAGAACTATAGCTTTATGCTTCACATCGAAGGCGATAAATATAACAATGTAGTACTACTATTAATGCCCTTTTACAGAAGTTTATCATCAAATATCGAAAACTGTGCTGAACCCAGTCGCCTAACACTAAATATGGAATGCCCATAAAAATGCAAGTCAAGCATTATGTGTCTAATCTTAGAAACGAGCGCTTTCAAGTGAGAATTGAATGTCGAAAATACTTAGAAATCGATCAGAAAATACCTCTAAACAATAATTAATAAGCATTTTACCAGACTCTATAATCTATATAGTCACGTCTTAAGATAACAACTAAAGAATATAAATATGTGAACATGTTCTGAAAATGGTTTAGTCTATTCGTAGTGTGACACTGAGCAATGTTGTATAATACAAGGAATAATCCGTATTGATGGTGTTGGGGTAAAATGCCTAAATCTCCGCCTTACTTTCCACAGACTCGTCCTCAAGAGCAACAACAATCTCAGCAACAGCAGCAACAGCAGCAACAACAGCAACAACAGCAACAGCAGGAGGGCAGTAAGAGAAACTCGGCCGCGTCGCAGGGATCCAACCCCGGGCCTGAGGGACCCCGCGACAGCGTGGAGCCCGACCCCGAGTGGGCTCCACACGTGGACTTGGGCAAACAACTCGCCACGCTACACGCATTGCTTGTCGATAGCTTACCTAAGCTACCTGCTAATAAGATACAGGTATGTTTACTACCCTTCTGTGTTTCTATGACCTTGATGAACATAGTTTAAACATGTTTACTTATTACATTAATTTATTACCTACAGGAGTTGGACCCGTTATCAGATATATTAGACGAACTAAGCAAGAGGCTAGTAAGCAACGACATCAGCTCTCCTGTACCCCCTGCTGCTGATAACATATTCAGGTACGCATAAAAACAATTTTTTTTATTTGCTCCATGTAAACGATCGAAATCTTTAACAATTCTTTCTACACAGGTTCAACGACCCTACATGTAATACACCAACGAAGCAACCGATCGAGCCAGCAACTAACGGTCAGATCAACAACTTTGCTCACAGTTCTCCCATCATGAATAAAAATGGTGTTCAATTCAACATCAGTCCATCCAAATCGAACGCCGAGGAGTCAAAGTACAAGCCTGGATATGCAGCTGTCACAAAGTCGCCCAGCTTCAACTTACGATCAGCTACTTTACCCAGGAATGGCTACGGCTCGAGTCCTGCTAGCCAAGCGGTCAATCCAGACAGATACAGTTCGCAATACAACAATCAAGAACATTGCGTCAATCTGAAGGTTGTACAAATTGGCTTTGGATCAGACCAGTATCCCAAAGGTATCAGTAATGGCGTCGGTGAAAGCTTAGAGCGCAGGTTCCAGGATCGATACAAGCCCAACAACAACTACAATAACCAGCAAACCCACTTTCACAATTCTAACTACAATAGCACAGAGAGGTCACCAAGCAGCGACAGTATCAACCATAATTACTGCTCCAATGATATGCAGAACATCATGAAGGAAACTGCTACACTAGAAGAACTGTCCGATCTTTTGAAGTATGCTGATGACTCTGAAATAGTTGAAGATAAACTCATTATGAACAAAAAGAACTTGTCTCAATCTATTTCAAATAATAACAACATTGTGAATGGGAACAAAGCTAACTACACAAACAATGGCTCCAACGTTTCCATTAGTGGTTTATCAAATGTAGCGAGTTCCGGTTACCAAAGTATTGCTACGTACAGTCAAAGTTCAAGTCCCATTGAAAACACGACACACCATCATCAGCCATATGAAAATGGTGGACAGCCAATGAGTCGATACTCGCAAATGAATTACCAGAAGCAAAGAGACAAACAGTATTATGACAGTAAAAACGAAAAGTTCTATCCAAAGAGCCCAGTGCAACAAAAAATTGACTATGACATCCAAAAGTATGGAATCCAAAACTTCACAACTGCGGATAACACACCATCAAACACCAACACAAATCCAAAGGTAGCTCCGCTAGTGTTCACGAATCCAGTGTACAACATGGATGACAATCGTCAGGCGCAGGAGAAAAAGAACAATGAAAACAGAAATTCAAAACGTTGTCCTTGTGGTTCATCCAGTTCATCGATAGATGAGGAGGGTTTGAGCACAGACAACGTCGAGACAAACTCTGAAGAGGGTTCTACTAACTTCAACGAGGATAGTAGAAACTATGACCAACAGAATCGCAACAATTCCCACCGAAAACTCACCAGAGATAACTGTAATTATGATGATATGTATCAGAGGAGCAACCATAGTCACTCCCCAAGGATACGTGACGACGAATCGTCAAGCAATTCGCCTAGTCTACGGAAAAGTAGTAAGACGCGAATGCCCAGAACAAATCCTATGCTCTCTTACTCCACAAACCAAAATCCTGTAAACTTCAAACACTTTGGACAAAGAGGAGAATCGCTGTATGAAAGCAAGCCTCACCACATCTCAACCGATTCCGGCTACCCCATGAGCAGGTCCGACTCGAACGTAGAGGAAGTCAACAAAGAAATGTATAGGTTACAGATTTCACGCAGTCAGAAGGCACTCTACAACATGGAGAACTCCAAAAATTCTCCAGAAAAGTACTCGATGACTGAAAGTGCAATACCAGAGACTAACTATCCGCTGGATCGGACCTATTCTGGTGCAAAAATGTCGAGTAGCCGACTGAACGAAGATTTAGAAAGGCACCAAGAATTCTATGGGGTTCGAGGTGAAAGACGAGAGTCTCCATCGAGAGTGGTGTTCGGTCGCGAGTCCCAGTCGAGTGAGGCCAGCGAGCGCGCGCCCGCTGACAAGCTGCACAGGAGGCTCAGCCTGGACTCCGCGCGAGACCTCACCGACAGCTCCGATGAGATGGAAGACACGCTCTACAGTACTACAGGTCGACGACGAGCTTCTAAACATCAGAGGACCATCGAACAGGTAATAAACTACGTGATTAGTAACTTCGTTTAATATTTTTAAACCGTTTAACATTTACTATTTTTCTAATATCTTGCCATTTTCAGACAGAAAGAAATCATAAACATTTCCATTCTTTTTTTACAGTACGAACGTGAAATCGAACGGTTAAAATGTTCTGTGGAACTTCTTCGCGGGAGGTTGGGACCAGCCGAACCGGGACAAGATCATACGGATGCTAAAATGAAGGCCATCATCTCAAGGTGCTAATTGAAAACGTTTTTGAAATTTTGTTACCGTAATTTAAAAATCAAAGACATAAAACATTAACTATGACACTAAAACATTAACTAAAACTTTCAGGTTGATCTGCGTGGAGGAAGAACTGAGACGAGAGCAGCGCAAGATGGCCGCGGCGTTGTCACACAAGCAACGCGTGATCGAAGCGCAGGAGCATCGCATCGCGGCGCTGGACGAGGCCAACACGCGCCTGCTGTCCGCGCTCGTGCACCTGCAGCAGCGCGCGCCGCACCCGCCGCACGCGCCGCACGCGCCGCACACCGCGCACGCGCCGCACGCCGCCGCCGCGCACTCCGCGCCGCACTCACAGCACACGCACCAAGAGCTGCAAATATAAACTCATTGCACAGATATAGATACAGGTAGATACCACAACTCCACTCTAGGAGAGTTTACCATCATTAGTACCTGCTGACTGAGTTTGAACTTTAACTGAAAGAAAAATTTAATATAGATATTCTTTCACGTAGATTCATAATAATCTGTTCATTTTAAATGAGGATGTATTGAGAGCTGATAACACCTTGATAATAATTAGGTATAAGATTTATCCTAAGAAGTACTGGTATTAACAATGATATTATTTAAAATTTGGATCCACCTTTATCTATGTCTGTACCATAGTATTTTATCAGTTTTAATAGTACCACATCAAGAATACTGTTTTCAAATTGTATGCTATTATTTTGATCTCTGTTTTCATTGGACAACTAATGGCATATGATGTTGGTGCATTTATTTTAATGGAGGAACATTACTTTTGTAACATATTTGGAAATTAAGTTACTCAGTGCTATGATGGAATGTATGGTCTGGCTTCTTTAGCAGTTTTGTATAAATGAGTGCAAAATCGTTTGTGAAATTACAGTATGATTGATTGTATGCGCGTTCTGCTATGTACCATTTTTCAAATAAATTATTCTCGTTCTCATATTTTACGCACAAAATTGTACAACGGCCCATTAGTAGTGCCGTGTAATGTCTACTTTGCTTATTTAAAAGTTATATACAATAAAGGCACAATTAACAAGTTTTGCACGCAGTTTACCTATATTATTAGAAAGTGTTCGTCGTTGTATATCTTCGTTAGTTGCAATATGAATAAACTCATTGCGGAGTAAATATTTGTTATAACATAATGGTTAGTATTGTTTTGTAACTCGTGTATCGCAATAATTGTTTTGCCATTTAACATTTTTGTTACATTGTTTCTTTAGTTTTATTGAAATATGCTTTAAATGACATTAATTTTCTATAAATATCAGTATTTTCATAAATTCGATGTAACGTTCGCTCCATGTGTCGACATGTTTGATTTCTGTAACAATGATACCAAAGACGATTGAATATCCCTTAGACTAGTTGCAGTGGTCATATCGAACCCACTGCAATAAAGTCTTAGTGTTGTATTTTAAATAAAATGTTATAGATTTTATAATTATAATATAAGACTTGTATCATAATATTCTTAAGAGATACGATAAGTTTAATGTGGTATGAAATCAAAATTTATTTTTAATACCTTTGGAGTATTATAACTATTATGGGATTAATAAAATGTTAAACAACCTAATACTTAAAATTGTAAGTCTGTATCGAATGTAAAAGTAAGTTTCAAACCACGACTTATGACGTATTGTGCAACATACCTAGTTACAGCGAAAATGTAATTTAAGCCATAACTTGAATTAAATATACCTACACTGGTATATAAATTATCACATTAAATTATGAATTACGTACACTTTAGTTTCATTACATCAATATCAACGTTTCCTTGCTTCACTAAGTTAAGTGCAATCAAAGTAACCATTTTGTAGACAATAAGGCCTCGTGGTCGTAGTCTGATATGTTGCTCCGATATAGGCACCACACTGGGTTCCATTATCCACAACACCCTCTACACCGCCTCTGAGACAGGAAGGGAAAAATCATACGTAAGAAGATGATGCATGAGGGTGGCCACTGGCCACCACATTCAGCACTGAGGAAAACGAATTAAGGAGGAGAAGGTCAATGACCTCTTCCGAAAGTAAGGGGCTCGGGTCCAGTCAAGACGTTTTCCTTTACCGTTCTGATTTTGCAGTATAACTTTTAAATAACATAATATAGGTAACATCCTGATGTTACAGTGTCTGCACTTTTTTCCTTGGGGTACGTAGAGGTGTACACGTCTTATGTATGTACATATTATAAGAACGTCTATGTACATTCTATGTTCATTCAATGTAACTGCCACTTTTCACTAGTCATTTTATTATTCCCTTTCCATCTGATATTATAAAACAGGAGTTTTTAACGCGCTAATCTTCGGAACTACTAATTCGAATTGAATAAGTCATTATTTTTGTGTTGGATAGTCCAATAGTACATTTATCGAGGAAGGCTATAAAACTTCACGCTACCATCAATAGAAGCTGAGCATCTGGTAAACCGCCAGGCAACTAGTTTGCTCCATAATTATTGCCATACACCGCACAGTTCTTAATAATTTGAAAATTTTTTGAAAAGCCTTTTACTTAGAAAGTACATTAAGTAACTTATATAAATATCCATTGCTACTTGACAGTTTTCGAACACATATCCCGTGTTTGAAAACCTGCCTTTTAAGGAAAATAATCATGGTTCCGGAAAATAAATTAATCTCCAGCGATCTGTGGCCGACTATAAAAATGGATCTTCGAATAACAACACTAAACTTCCGAATAGAATATTGAACCTCCGACAAAGTTACTAAAGTTACCGACAACAGACGTTTTAGGTTAGGTTGGGTTAGTATTGTAGCAATAAACAGTCATGTAAAATAGTCGGAAAATTAGTATTTTAGGCAGTAGTTAGTGTAGTAATTTTCAGTAAGGACAATTCTTCTTTTCTTGACGGAGCTTTAATTACTACCCGCCTTTTAATCTCTTTCTACAATTCGCTCCCCGACGAAGAAAATTAAAAGCCAAAAAATAATACATCTTTAACAGATCATTGTTATTGAAGAACAGAACAACAGAACATTACACGTAAAAAAATGTAATCACGAACTTTTCGGTTCGTACCCGGCTGGTAAACAAATATATCGCTTTTTCGCAATAAGTAATTTTCTTTCTTCCGATTCCCTCGCACAATAAGGATGTATCAGTTGTAAATCTTCTAGTCTACCATACAAATATGAAAAGTATATTTCTCGAAAATTCTTGTCAGGAAATTCAGCTTGGTACATAGTTCTCCATAGTAAGTTAGTGACGTAAGCATGTGATCTGAACATGGACAGCTTGTACCTGTGTGTGAAATGTTTGAAATTATCATTTAGAGTCTGTTTGTGGTACCAAGTAGTGTGACCCAGATACATAGGTTCTTTAGGTGTTGCTACATGCCCGAACCCTTTTCCGCTGAGCGTTGTGAACATTCGCCAATACGTGGTACTCTTACGTAGGTACTCCTTTTTCTCTTCCACCGTAAAACTCCCGTACAGTCTTCGTCTCATCCATTCTTTGAGTTCGGGAACTAAATGTAAATCAGGCAGCCGCGCTGCAACATTGATTTGCCGCATGTGTCGTAGTGCGCATTTCAGGTAGTCCTGAGGCTTTGGATTCAGTCCTAAACAAGTACCTGAGGCTTTCCAATTAGCCGATTTGCTTCTATTCCTATTACTAGTGCCGCTATCTGAAGCTAAAGTTTTCTTTGAAGCTATTCTTTGAGATAAGTTACGTTTTTTTAGAGTTTCTGCATCCATCTTGGACTCTTTCTTTGCTTCTGCTATTGACATTCTCCTTTGTATTGCATCTCTTTTAGATATTCTACTGTTTCTTCTCAGTTTATGTTCATTATCACCAGATGCGTCTTTCCGTTTCTTCGTAGATTTGTCTGATTTTGATTTACTTGAATCATCGTCGGTGTAAGCAATATCTGTGTCAGTAGACTTTTTGGGAATATTATCAGAATACTTTTTCTTTTTTTTCTTCTTATCAGTTATTGCAGGAGTCGTTCCATCGTTCACATGTAACATGCTATCTGTTTCCCAAACCTTCTTAAATTCGTTTTCTATGTATAATCTTTTATCATCTAAATCGTATATTCTTTGATAGTTAAAACGTAATGGAGAATGGCGTGTAGGTTTGTCAAAATAAGGTAGTTGATCTGAAGGGAAGGCATCATTTTCATTTCCATAATCGTAAAAATGACCACAATAGCATTTATGATCTTTAATATATTGAAAGACTGTGTCATTCCACTTTTTAACACAATCGCAAGGGGCAGATTTTCGCGCTGGCGGCCGTCCACGAAAACCACAATGTATTGTAATATATTCTCCATTAACAACACTGAATCCTCCGTGGATAAGCTCACCTTCTGCAGGCAAAAGTGTAACACTGCCCAAAACATAGACTGTCTTACCATGAACTCGATATACTCCGTTAATCATATATTGAACATTATTCAAGCCAGTCGTTGGAGGCACTGGTTTTTTTCGCCGAAACTTTTTTTTCGGAGTCTGGTTAGTTTCTAATGTAAATGCTTTTATTTTACTAGCAGTGTCCATAAAACTTGATTTTGATCTCAATTTCCGTAATGTATTTCGTGGATATTTTTTTGGCACGTTACCCAAATTCGTGGCAGTCGAAACGTGAGTCGTTACGTCAACGATCCCTGCTAGTTGATCGCAGTACGATTTTGGTAATCTCTTTTTCGGTGGCGGTGGTGGAGGTGGCGGTGGAGGAGGTTTCGGCATTACGGGCTCCTCTTCATATGGCTCATTGAGTTCACTTAGATCTGGCAATGGTAAAGGCGATTTACGACGGATTTGTGGAGGCACATACAACGTCGCAACCATTTTTGCTAGATATGGAGATGGAAGCGGAGCCTTTGGCTTTGGTTTTGGTTTAGGTGGAGGTTCCGATATAGTTTCATCTGGCGCAAACGTTTTCTGAAGTAAAACTAACAAGTTGTCCAGTCCCAAGTAAAAAATGGCGGACAACATAAGTCTAGCATTCAAACAATACGAAGTACGTTTTCCCTCGATAGGATAACCATAAGTTGACAGATATAATTGCGCCAACATTTCTTTTGGGTCGTTACGGCCTGCATAAAGACAACTCATAAGTTCTGTGGAACTGGGACGAGGAAACAATCCGAGTTTATGCATAACAACAGATGACCGGTCGGGACGTCCTTCCAATATATCTTGGTAAATGGAATCTTTCAGAGAGTCCAACGCTACTCTCTGAGGCACACTTAAAGCTTGATACCATCGAGGTCCAACTGCAACTACAATACTCTGCAGCATTTGTTTATCTTTGATTCTCCGATATTCCTTCAACTCTTCCATGAATATTTGTTTTTCACGAGTTTGACGCGCATACACCACCTGCAGGCGACGTCGAAGCTTTTCATCGTGCGTTTCGGAGCCATGTTTATGTTCAACCATTTTAAAATTAACACAGTAAAATTAACAAACAAAGACATCAACACATATATTTTTTGTGTATAACTGAATTATACTGCAATTTAGAAAAAAAATCATATAGTCTCAAGATATTTTGAGTGACAACTAACAAAATTTCAATTTGTGTTTTATTACACCAAAAATCCAACGTGTTTATGATTGCCAGTATGAAGGTATGGTAGTAGATAATTATGATCTCGATTTTGCCTTTTTTCAACGTCATTAAAAGGATGAATATTTTATAATATAGTTATTAACAACAAGGCAATTTAATAAAAAAAATTATAGAGAGTAAAATATTGAACGGCTACATGTATGCATTAATTATACCGCCATCTGTTGTCGAGTAGTCTTAAACTAGTCTCAAACTCGTGTTTACGCAATTGTCGAGTGATGGCTTCAAAACGACCAATAATGCAAAAAAGTAATATTAGAATTAAAATCGTTGATGATTAATGGAATTTATTACTTGGACCGGGAAAAGAATATGCCCAAAACAATTAAGGAAAAATAAATTATTGGTGAGAGTTAGTACAAAGGATGTTCTAACACAATAAAACGGTTTATCGAAGTTTTCAGAGAACATAAAAAATATACCATCCTTCGACGATTAAAATCATTATAGATCAACTTGTAAATACTAAAAATGCAACTTTTGTATTTACACTTTTACCCAATTTAGTATGCTATACTTATATTTTGTTAAAGCATCTATTTTCTGAAGGTGTAGGAAAAATATATATTATCGTATCGTTGCTTATCTTCATAAAAGTTAAATTACTACTGAAGATAATTGTATAAGATTGCATATGATTTTGACTAATAAAATATTTGTAGTCGAAACATATTTTCCATTATTATTAACAATTTCTATTTATAACCACAATTGTGTAAGTATATACAACATGTAACTTAAATAACGCACATCCTGGAAATAGTTTGTTCAGAATCGTTAACTGAATCGATTTATATAATTTTTAGTATAGGTAATTTTTTATCCCAAAAATAATTAAAACTATACGGAAATTATTGTCATATTAACCCTGTATTGTTGAAACAAATCGAAATTGACCGTAAATCAAAGCAATAAGACTTTTAAAATCGCAGTTTTATTTGTATTCATACAAATTCTATCATTCAATACAAAATAACGAAAAATAAACCTTATGACAAGACCAGTAAGGATGCATATACATGTTAAATAAAAAATTTAGTGTATGTATTATGATTATTGAACATAATATTCTAATTGGGGGTTTGAGGGTGTGCGTTAATTACGTTACATGTTGTATATAATAATGTGTAAGTAAATGACTATAACATTTT